AAATTAAGTAATGAAATTAAGAACCGAGAGAAAAAAAAGTATATTTTGATTCGTGAGAAGTGGATTCACTGTTGTTTTAAACGTCTGCAACATCGAATGAATTTCTATGAACCGATTTTACAAATGGAAGACGGTCAATGGTCCCGATTCGAATGTCACGAGAATTGATTGTAATCCCCCTCCCCCTTAAACATATTAAAAGCTTAACATATCCCCGATAAACATCTTGCCGCGGCACATTAACATATCTTCTTAATGAGGAGACATTGGCTTAAGACGACACGAATGTTATTCCATTGTTTGTTCCAACCTCGAAGGAATCTACCAAAGGGTCACTCTCTCTCTGAGTGGAACAACCTATTTTGACTCACTATTCTATTACTAACTTAAAAATTACAGCTTTAGTGCAGAATGTGAGGATCAACTAACACTAAAAAAACGAAAACTGATTCCTTTTTTCTTCCTACTAAGCACGCTGGAGCAGCTGCAACGTTTCTGCACACTTTCAGTCCGTGGCCAAATTATTAGACGCACTATAAGATTGTACGCAAAATCTCAATTAATAAGGTGATACTACACCGCTTTATCGTTTTTATGCGACTGAAACCGGTTTGTACTTGTTTACGTTCGTGTATCAATTGGATAAATTAGACGATATATAATATAAATTCGACGATTGGATAAATTAGACTATTAAAAAATGGTTTATTATTTNACTTACTTTCAGTTGATGTTGAAAATATTTTTGCAAACATTTATTCGTATTTTTATATATATATTGTGCTGTGTTGAAAGTTTGACTAAATTGTAATTCTCATTTCATCCCATTTGTCCCGCTTTGTCTCAATAAAAATGTGGTCACTTTATTAAAGGTGCTTTTTTTCATTAGGTGTTTTTAAAAAGTGCTCAATTTTCCCTTTTTCAAAATGAGATTTTTCCTTTACTATTTGATTTTCGCTTCGAATTATGAAAAAAGACACAGTTCTCATTGTTCTATTCAAAATTTTCACAATTAATTTAACCCCAATCTATTTCGGTGTATTGTCAATCCGTTGCTTATGAAAACGCCTTTCGTTTTACATGATTCAAAATTTCATGATTTTTGACAATAGTCAGGGGTCTGTTTAGAAGAAATTTGGGTCCGTTAACGGACCCTTCACAAAATATCTTTTCATAAAAACGGACCATTCACAAAATGATTTTTCTTTTAATTGGACCCTTCACAAAATGATTTTTCTTTTAATTGGACCCTTCACAAATTTGTTTATCTTCATTATTGTTTTGTTAATTGAATAAACCCTTCCCAGAGCAGAAAACAAAAAAAGATGAATGTAAACGAATTAAGTTTTGTTTTCGGCAGACGATTCTTCCATTATTAGACGATTCATCCATATTCTGCGTTCAGCAGTATAGGCTAAATACCAAATATTCGTATGTTTCATCTCTAATTTAGAAGCAGCAATTGTTGTTTATTTTTTTAAAATTTAAATTTTTTAATTATAATTTTACAGTGTTGAACATAATCTTGTATGTCTTTACAATTTAAAAACTCCTTGAAAAAGTTTTTTCTTTTTGTTGCAATAACGGACCCTATTTGCACAAATTCATAAAAGCGGACCCTGGTTGAAAGAATGTGAGTCATTTTTTCACGATTTCAAGAAAAACGGACCTTTCACAAAATGTCTGGACAGACCCCTGCAAATTCTTAAGCACGAATTTAAATTGTTTTGTATAATTTCTGGCAGCACCAGTTATACCAACTAAAAATCGTTAAAGCAAACTGTAAATGAAAGTTTCAATAAAAACAAACAGGATCAGGGAAGAGACAGGACTCTATAACGGAAACAAAATCTCATTGCAGATGGCATCTGATAAATTAAATATGCAGCTAAAGATTCCATATCCCGTTTTAATCAAATTGAAACAAAAATCAAAAGGCTTTTTGAAGACTTAAAGAATGAAAAACAAATTTTAATGAAGAAGTATCAAAAGAAACATCCATCAGCTGTAAAAAAATCCAAATCTTAAAAAACAAAGGTAGGAAAACCAAGTTACTGAAATATATACAATAATAGACGTGGTTATAGAACAACCATGGGCATGATCTGGATAGATGTAAATGCATGCTAAATGTAGCTAAATGCGTATGTAGCTAAAGAAAGTAATTCAGTTTCTTTTACGCGTTGGCAATAAAGAACTGAAATATCAAGCGAGTGAACAGTCATAAACATGGAACTAGCAACCATATCGATACTTTTCGCTTAGCCAACCAATATTTTTTAATTTTAATTAATTTTTGCGGCTTTAAAAATAAATAAAATTAAAAAAAAAAACATTTAAAAAAAAGTTGGTGGATGCCTACATTTTTTGGCGATTTTTCACTTGCTCCCGGCTAACCAAAAAATACCACAAAATCTAGTGGAAATGACATCTTCTAAATAAAATCTACTTAAAAACAAAAAACATCGATTTATTTCCTTTTATATATGCATGTTCAACTGCCGTAAATCAAGCTTTTTAAGGTGATATCTTTCAATTCATTATTTAATTCAAATTGACTCCTATTGTATCTTCAAAATGATTTAAAATTTATCATTGTTTATATAAAGAGTGCAAAAAAAAAAAAAAATGAACGGAACACCCTGAATAACTTTAGACCTCAAATACGCTAATTAGTACAGACGATGTATTAAATTATTTAATCAGACGCAATAAGATACTTTCTCTGAATAAACACACCCTTTTTTCGTCGGATTACGATTTCTGAAATTAGATAAATCTGATCCTTATAGTTTGGTCAGCTTTTAACTTTGGATCCCTCAATGTTAATTTATCTTTTCATGGATTGCCAGTCAGGTAACTGAGTGGTCAGCGAGCGTGAATGCAAAGCCGGCAGTTAGGCCGGGATAGCCTGGTTAGTAGGGCACTGGATCCATATCCAAGAGTTTGTGGGTTCGATCTCATGCCGGCCGAAGATTCACCGTGTAGTAAATGGTGACTGATGCACGTTAAATCTGTCGAGTCGTAAGGTCCTCCATGTTCCCATAACAAATCAATACCTCTGGGGGTACTGATCCAGGAGTATCTTTGTCTTCTGGATTAGTTTAAAATTACAAGGTTACGGAGTTAAACATTAAGTAGAAAACCCAATATTGCGTCAGCTGTTTAACAACGGATATAAAAAAAAGAAGAAGAAAAGGCGATGGTTGTGAGTTCGAATCATGAGGCTCTCTATGTGTTGTGTGAGTGGGCCCATCCTAGGCATGGGTAATGTTGCTCGCTTCCGTAATTGAGATTCACAAATGCCGGTCAGGTAGTGTTAAATGAGCAACTTTTCCGGCTTTTTTTTTCGATGAGAAGATCAAATTGCGTGCAGTTAAAAAAAAAAGAAATCGTGAATTTTTCCATATTTCGAGATGGTTTTTCCATGATGGTTCAATGGTAATTGTTGTTCGTTCTCACGAATATATCATCAAAATCCAATATTGGATTTCTAAGAAATTATGATGGAAAGTTCTGAAGGCGCAACATGAACAAACCATCAAAACAAGTTTGTATTTTTATGTTGGACCATCATAAATCAGTCCGAATTCCCACATTGGGGTGATGGTTTCTTATGTTGGTCACCATCAAAAATATTACAGTTCCTGATGGAATTATTGATGGTTACCATTAAGATTATGTTGCTCCATCAATAGAAGACCATCAAAAATTGTTTTGGGTAAATGCACATTTTCAGTTGCGTCTATTTCTTTAAACACGCATTTTGAGCTGCGTCTATTTTCTTAATGTAAAATCATTCGTCATATTCTTCGGATAAAATTCTTCGTAACTACTTTTCGTAACTAACGAAAGGCGAAATTCCGAATAAGGAATTGTTTCTGATTACGCAAATGCAGAAGGTACTCTTAAACATATTATAAAGGATATGTAATGCTCACAATATTTTCAGTAAATTAATTACCACCTAGCATATCGCACTAGCACTACACTGAAGGGGAAAAGGAAAAAGTATCTTCGTTAATAAACAACTAGTTTAGAAAAATAGTTAGAGAAAGTTTAATCATCCCGTCTTAAGCTCAGAAAATCAATCCGTCTAAGTTACTTACTGTGGCAAAGGGACAGAGGTCTTGGTTTTACATGCCTGTCTGTTACACTATAATTTTATCATACCTTACAAAGCAATAACAACAAATTCAGGGAGTAACTGAACATTTTCACTGGTTCCTGAATATAAAATTACAATAAGTAGAAGCTGTTTTACAATTCCATCTCTGCATATCGATTTCCTAACCGTCGTTGACCCAACTTTTGACTTTAAGACTGCTAATATTCAACTCTGTCGCCTTGTCATTTTGATCCCAATCCAAAAGAAAAGGAAACTATAGGGAGAAATCTGCTGGGACTTTTTGATGGAACTAACCTGCATTCGCATTACACGGAGAGACAAACCACGAAAACCTGCTAGTCTGACAACAAGGGGACCCACGATCTGTCTACCACTGAGGATCAGCACTGTGGTCGGTGCAAGCCGGGTGCGGTTTTTGCTTCGACCAGTCATCACTGGGATTCGAACCCGGGTCATCTTATTTTTTATTATATATTTTTTTGGATTGTCCCAATTTTGGGTTTATGACTACTAATGTTCAACTCCGTAGCCTTGCCATTTTGAACCCAATCCAGAAGACAAGGAAACACCTAGATCAATACCCCCAGAGGTATGATTTGTTATGGGAACATGGAACACTTTGTGACCCGACAGATTTAACGTACATCAGTCACCACTTACTAAACGGGAAGTCTTCGGACGGCGAGGATCGAACCCATAACCTTTTGAACATGGGCCCTTCCAACCAGGCTATCGTGGCCCTGGGTCACCTCATTGGGAGGCGAGCGCTCTGAGCCAGTTATGGTAACTCGAGTGTTAGTGTCTTTAATTTCGAGCTCAGTTTCTTTCAAGATGCTAGCCGTTTTAAATCGAAACACTTAATTTCTCTCACCTTGGTAGGGATGTTCCATTTTGAGATAGCTTGTAGCAATCCTGATTTCTGTGAAGAAGAATCGGTTGAGCTTTTCTTCTCGTCCACCCTCTGAGATAACCGCCGATGGACGGTCTGACTTCCTGCAGCAGCAAATGACTTATCCATCAATCTGGTTGCTTCATCGTTTTGAGTGATGTCTCGTCCATCCTATCTGAAACATGAAACAACATTGTTCTAGAGTGTTACGTAAACAGCATCCTTTTTAGAATTTTTGAGAAATCCAGAAAAACTGCCTCGTTATCCTTAATGCAGAACTGTTTATGTCAAGACATATGCAGTTCCTTTTAATTTTTTAAACATTTATATACATTTACTTAATAAAGGTTGCAAGTTTTGTTCGCAAAATAGATTATTTGTCATATTAAAGAAAATAGTTAACTTGAACCGCGAATAGTTAACTTGGGTTATGTATAGTTCGTTCACCAGGAGTTGGCACTTGGCTCCACCTCCTCGGACGGAGAGTTTATTTCAGAGCTGGAGTATGAGTAGAGACGTCTCCGAGCTTGAAATCGAGACAACCCTTAATGTGCCAAACGTAAACAGTGAATTCTTTTTCAGTCACTTGCTTCGCTTTAACATGTGTTTTTATATCTTTCGTTACTCTAGAAAATTAAGTATATTGCAACAAAATGTCTCAAAAAGGACAAACTATTCACTCAAAAGAGAGATTTTATAAAATATTTAATGTTTAAAAAAATGCTCATAAAAATGGCAAATAAATATTTTTGTCATATGATCGCCAAATAGCAACCTTGTTCAGGATTGTTTACCTCCTTCTGCCAAAAATAGCGAAATAGTATAGTTGGATATCACATGATGAAGGCGGAGCCAAATGTCAACTCCTGGTGGACGAACTATTGTTCAATTAACTTGAGCCGTGGTGGCTCAGGAATAGAAAGCTCACATCCTGATTTGGTGCCCCAGGCTCGAATCCCAGAGATGGTTCATAGAGCACAGTGCTGAAGTAAAATATCCTCAGTGGTAGACGGCTCATGAGTTGGAATGTCCTTGCCGTCAGGCTAACCGGGGAGATGTTTACGTAATTTGTTTCTCCATATAATAAAAAGCAAGCTAGTCCATCTTGAGTCCTTCACGAAGGCTAATATAGGATTTCTTCTGGTTTGGGTTCTAACTCCTTGAACGTTGCGAGCCATAAATACAAAAAATGTATCAACGCGACTTGTAAAATAATTTAACTTATGAGATACACAGTTAACCTTGCAACTTAATATAAATTAGGACATAAATCAATGAAGTAACACCACCCATTGACATCACGTCAATGGGCTGCTGTGTTGGAAAAGACACTGTTCATATAAGTGTAACTGTTATGGAGAAATTAAAAGCGTCATCCCATTCCCAATAGACTCTCAATAGATATCACAATCCCAATAGATTCTCAATCCCAATAGATTCTCAATCCCAATAGATTCTCAATTGAATGCATATTTTTTAAATTTCCTTCTCTTTTCTTACAAGGACTTTTTTTTACAAGGACTTTTTTTTTATAAGGATTCTAAAAGTATTTGTCAAAAGCGATACTTTGGCAATGGCCAGTTCTTAATCAGGCTAAGTGCAACGAACATATATTTGTGCAGTAAAAATAGGGTTTAAATGAAAAACGAAATTAAAAAAACCTGCGGTAAACCCTCTTGATAAGAACGCGTGTTTAGGGCAGACATGCATAGTTTTTCTACGGTAAGAACTCCTCCCGCCACAAAGTCTGAGGCTGTCTGCAGCTATGGAAACAAGACTAACGCATTTCAGGGAGGGTAGTTTCTCCTCACTCTAGGGCTAACACAATAGACCGGAGAAAAATATTCTAGTTTGTCTAAGCTAAGAACTCCTCTCGCCACAAAGTCTTCTGGTGCTATGGAAACATGAAGGGTACAAGAAGGGTAGTTTCACTCTAGGAAAGAGATTCCCTTTCTCTCGCCGACTCGAGCCGAAACCACTCTAAAACAGTGATTCTAAAACTCATCCCTACTTAAAATAGTCATACCTCGTTACCATAGTCACCGCCACTGGTCCTGGCGAATGGCTGGGGGAGTTCTTACTTTAGACAAACTATACTGGTGTTTCCTATAACGCTAATCTCTAGACAATTTTTATATTTCTTTCAAAACGTTTTTTTTTTTTTGGTTATAATGCTGAATTCAGTTGAACGGATTTATTTCAAAAACAATACTTTTATTTAAACTTAACGGATGCAGTATTGACTCGTTTTTTGATGCATGCTTTTGGAAGTTATCGAGAAAGCGCTCCATTACAAAATTGTACTTGCAATTGTAAAAATCAGCAAACTGTTAGTTCGATTCTCTATTGATTGGTTTCATTCAATTTAGGGTATAAAAAAAATTAAATACTTTATTTGTCCCCATAGTGACTGAATATTAGAATGAAAATTAGCCGACTTCTAATGCATATAAGTATTTGCAAGTTTGGAAGTTATATAGTGTCTCATTCGTATAACTTATACTGTAAACAATGCTTCATTTCTCTAGATTTTATATTTTAGATGCACAAAAAAATGATGCACAATATAAAAATTTTTTTTAAGCCATTAGACGTATCCTCTCGGAAATCGATTCAGCATAAAATCTACTTGGGAACTAACTTTTTTTGACATGCGTCAGTTTTTGACGGTTTTAACCACAGATAACTTGTATTGAAAGCTCCAGTTAAAAATGTGAGCACGCTAGTTACTCTTAAAGTGGTAGATTTCGGGATGGTTAAATTATCGTAGCGGTGTACTGTAGTAATTCGAAGAGTGGAGATTCTTTCAAGATTCTACTCTCATAGATACGAAGTAATAAAAAAGGTAATTATTAATGAAGTACATTTTTCAGTTTCTTCCACAGAGGGAAAAATACCGCCCCGGAAGAAATAATTTTCTTTCAATTTAAGTGGAAGAAACTTTTTATTTTCAAATATTGAAACATTTTTTTAAACAGATTATAATTGAAATCTAATTTTAATCTTGATTTCTAGGTAATGTAACAAATCATTTTAAATACGTTAACAACTAAAAACTTTCTTCAACTAAGGTGGAAGAAACTTTTCTTTCAAGTGGAAGACTTTATTCCTTCAACTTTCTTAAATCCCTATTGTTTTCCTCATTGACCTGAGGCGAGTCTTGAAAATGACTGCGCTAATTATTGCTGTTCTTAGAGCTCGCCAGACGTGAATGACTCATGACGTGAATTTTTGAGTGTTTGAAACATGACAGCTTTTATTCACGTCTTCATATTTTTTGAAGTTAAAGTGAAATTTTTAATTCTCTGCTCCAGTTTCATGAGATTATTCAATAAGTAACACAGTTTTCTAAACAAAATTAAAATACTTAACGCGATATTAAAATAAATTTTATGTCAGATAATGGCTTGGTTCTTTGATAGAAACAATAATAATGTATGAATATAGTCACAACTTTCTAAAAAATCAATGCAGCACAATTATTTTTATCATTTTTTTTTTGCTGCTCTGAAAAATATTTTTTTTAAGGATGTTTAAGAATTTCAAAAGTCGAATGAGACAATGGAATGGATTCAAAGTTAAATAGTTACAGGGTCAATCATTTCGAACAAGTTGACATTCATCAATCCAAAATCTACTCCAGATGTATTTTAGAGAATACTATAGGGCATATATAGATAGAGTTTGTATTTTACGCTCTTCATTTTCTTCTTTTATTTGATTAAAACTACTCAAATTATATGGTGAAATGCATAATACGACAGAGATTTTCACTGCTTTTTCTTATCTCTCCTGCCTCTGTTAACAAATTAAAGGAATCCTGCCTCTCTTAACAAAAGAAAGGTATCCTGCCTCTCTTAACAAAAAAAAGGTATCCTGCCTCTCTTAACAAAAAAAAGGTATCCTGCCCCTTTTAACAAAATAAAGGTATCCTGCCCCTTTTAACAAAATTAAGTTGAATTTCTAATAATTTTTATAAGTTTTAATTGTTTCAAACTGTTTCTAGCAATTACAGTTCCTGGCAGTACTATTAGACGCACTATAAGATTCCATGTAAAATTATAATTACAGGTCTTTATTGTTTTTATGTGACTGAAACCGGTTTGCACTTGTTTACGTTTCTGCATCAATGGGTTAATATTGTAATGCAATACGTTAAAATAAATACAAATAGAAAAGTATATAAAAAAAATCCCGAATAAAAACCCATTACATGTATGTTTAAATATAAGAGTATTGCCTATAAACTCGTGAAAAACATGCAATTATTAAAAAACTACATTGCGTCTAATAATTTGATCTGATTATTATAATATAATAATATAATGCTTGGTGTAAAAAATGTTCTATATTTATGTAATATATCGCCGAATTTAACTCATTGATACACTTACGTCATCAAGTGTAAACCGGTTTCAACCATGTAAAAACAATAAAGCTGTATAGAGTATCACCTGATACTCTATACAGGGACTGAAAGCACGTCCAAACAGATTTCAATTTTGGGATTAATGAAACCACTATCACGGTATAATTGAGCATCAATAAAACAATAATATTCTTGCCTCCTTACGGTAAAATATACCAACAATTTCTATTCCTAATTTCTCAAAAAAAGTTCATTAAAACTATTTTCCGAACATACTAATTACAACTATAAAACAATTTGTATTTCAAAAACATTTCTTAATATACCTTACTTTATTAAGAAAAACCTAACATTAGAAAACGAGCAATTTTTTGAGATGATGATTCTGAATACATAACGGTTTTGGAATTTTTTTCACAATTTTTTATTTTTAGTATTTTCTTTGTTTAACAGAATAAGGCATATCGAGCATTTTCCGGATATAACAGTATTTTGTGAGATATAATATTATTAACAACTTTTTTAAGCAAATTTTTTCAACGTGATAATAAAATTGTAGTTAAAGAATTTTTGTTCCCTTTTGAAATACAAAGCAACCTGCTGTATTTCTTTAAAATCTTTTTTGCATTGTACAGATAATAATAATAAATGCATTTATTATGTTAATTATTTTCCTTACTCAAATAAATAAGCAGCAATAAAAAAAGACTATCCATAATTTTTTTTCATTTTTCGAAACATAACATGCTTAGTTAATAATCATTATTTTAACGTCGAGTCATCTTAAAGCAGTAGAATGTTT